AGGGCTGGTCGCAATGAGGGTCAGTTCCCTCCGCCACCACCTCCACCTCCACCGTCACCACCACCACCGCCTCCACCCAGTCTTCAGAACGATAGCCAGAGTCACGTGGAAGGTGCCAGTCAGCGTACTGGGGTGATGGAACCCTACCATGAGCGTATTGAGGATCGTGATGTGATTGACCACCGTCTTAATGCTTTCTGCAAGCATAAGCCACCTTCCTTTGATGGATCTTATGATCCTATTGCTGCTGCAAGATGGCTTCAGGCGTTAGATAAGATCTTCAGAGTCATGCAGTGCACTGATACACAAAAGTTGATGTTTGCGACGTATATGCTGGAGGGCGATGCACATGAGTGGTGGATGAACACCTCTCACGCCTATGAGATATAGGGTCATGTCATGACATGGCCATTCTTCGAGGACTGCTTTTTGGGCAGATACTTTCCTTATGATGCTCAGGAGAGGAAGCATGGAAAGTCTGACAGGCTAGTGCAGGGCCCGTTGTCTGTTGACGAGTACTTGGCTAAGTTCAATGAACTGGTCAAGTTTGCACATTTCAGGATCGCTATGCCTACTCTGACGTTCTTGGCTTCTAAGTTTCGTAGGGGAGTTAATGAGGAGATAGCTGATCGTATTGCCGGAGCTGCATCGAGAGACTTTGGGACACTGGTACAGCAGTGTATAGACATCGAGGATGTCTGTATTGTGAGTAAGGCCAAGAGGGCCAAAGTTGCTAAGGTTAAGGGAACGAGTAGTTCCACTTCCTGGAAGGACATGAAGTTTGCTGGTAATGGAAAGGGAAAGCAGTTGGCTGCTAGGCAGGCGCCTAGTCAGTTCAAGAAGACTTCTACGCAGGGGAGTTCAGTCAGACCACCTACTCCCAGATGCTCGGGATGTGGGAAATTTCATGTGGGGCCGTGTGCTACCAGCCAGTTGATCTGCTTTCAGTGTGGTCAAACGGGAAACTATTCCAGGGATTGTCCATCGTCGACCGCGAGAGCTGCAGCGGTTCAGGCAGTTCCACTTCAGATGGTTCCCCTTCCACCTACAGCGACACCTGCAGTGCCACCTGCCACTGGTCGTGTTTACACCTTGGATAGGCAGCAGTCGGATAGAGCTCCGAACCTTGTTAGAGGTACTATTTCCATTGGTGGATCTGATGTTGATGTCTTGTTTGATTCCGGGGCTATGCATTCTTTCGTTGCCACCCCGATTGCTGTAGGGCTTGAGTTGCCCAATGATGTGCTTTCTCCACCGTTGCGGGTGACTACCGCCACCGGAGAAAAGTGTGATACCTCCACTGTTCATCAAGATGTCGTGTTTCAGTGAGATGGCCATGATTTTTTGGTAGATCTGATAGGATTGCCGATGGCTAACTTGGAGATCATCCTTGGCATGTATTGGTTGTCCAAGAATTGTGTGATGATTGACTGTTGTGCCAAGCGAGTGGTGATGTCTCCGTGTGATTCCACAGCCAGTTCCTCGCCTTATATTTCAGTGCTTCAGGCTAGGAGAGCCTTGAGAGCAGGGGCATTTAGGTATGTCATGTTGGGAGGTTTGGTGAGTGGGACGCAGGAGGATATCGCTGGAATTCATGTGGTTAAGGAATTCCTCGAGGTGTTTCCTGAGAAGATTCCTGAGTTTTCGCCACTGCGGGAGATAGAGTTCTCCATAGATTTGTTGCCTGGTGTGGGGCCTATTTCATTAGCTCCATATCGGATGTCGCCACCAGAGTTGGCGGAGCTGAAGAAGCACATTGAAGATCTTTTGGCGAAAGACTTCATTCGGCCGAGCGTGTCTCCATGGGGAGCACCGATCATTTTTGAAAAAGAAAGACGGGACTATTCGATTGTGCACCGATTACAGGCAGCTGAACAAGGTGACAATCAAGAACAAGTATCCCTTTTCGCGTATTGATGATCTGTTGGATCAACTTAAGGGTGCTCTTGTGTACTCGAAGATTGATCTCCGGTCCGGATACCATCAGATTCGGGTGAAGCCAGAGGATGTCCCCAAGACCGTGTTTCGTTCGAGATACGATCACTATGAGTATTTGGTGATCTCGTTTGGACTCACCAATGCACTCGCAGTGTTCATAGATCACATGAACAGGATTTTCCAGCCGTATCTGGATCAATTTGTGATCGTCTTCATTGACGATATTTTGATTTACTCCAAGACGGAGGAGGAGCATGGGGAGCACTTGAGGATTGGGTTGCAAGTGCTGAAGGAGAAAATTTTTTATGCTAAGCCTTCAAAATGTGAGTTTTGGCTCAAGTCTGTGAAGTTTCTTAGGCATGTGATTTCGGGTGAGGGAGTTGCAGTGGATCCGAACAAGATTGAGGTCGTGCTAGATTGGGAGAGGCCCAAGACGGTTACAGAAGTGAGGAGTTTCTTGGGTTTGGCAGGTTACTACCAGAGGTTCGTCAAGGGATGAGTAAATCCACGCGACACTAGTCCATAAAATCTTTCACTATGAAAAAGAAAGATTACAAAAATTCAAACTTCCCTAGTTACATTAGAATTACACTTAAACTTCCCAAGGAAGGTGGTATTCTCAAACTTATCTAAAGAAGTCACTCTTCAAACTTCTCTCTAGAGGTACTCTCTAATTGCTCTCAAGCTTAACAGAAAATCATCATGAAATTACAAATTGTTTCATGTATATATAGAGGTGAGGGGAACCCTCAACCTTTTTCCAGAATCTTCTTCAATGATTAATAGGCAGCATTTATTGGAGGTGGTTAGGAAGTCACTAAGCCTTGCACCCATTAATGAGATGCATGCTAGCATTAAATGAAGGAACCACCCCAGCATTATGTATGTGTGCTCAGTAATAGAAAAGTAGGATTAGGGTTTCCATAGAACATATATGTGAGTTTAAATCCCTTCTTTATAAGGGTGGGTTAGGCGCAATTCATATAGATAGACTTGGGCCCCTACCATGGATCTACAATATTTTTAAAAAAAATCATGGATCTACAACAATAATATGTTATTAGGTTTGTAAGATACACTAGGATCTTTGTTAATCTATTATTGCTTTCTTCCGGGATTAGTCAATCACAATTGGTTTCGCCATGGGAGGATAATCAAAAATTAAAATATAAAATGATTATACTTTATAGAAATTAGTCAGGACTTGCTAAATAGATATATGTGAGGTTTTTGTTGTGTTGTCTTCTCGATCCGCTGCCGCCTTCGACGTCCACCACCCTTTTTGATGCGGCGGTGGGTGTGCCGATCGGCTCTGCGATGGTTGGTGATGAACACCAAAACTGTATTATCTTTGATTGGTTGGAACTTGTTTCTAAAAAATTTACATTGGATTATTCATTTAATTTGTATCATATTATTTGGTTTTATTATAAGCCTATGTTGCGTTGTCTTCAAACACATGATAGAATAATATAATTCTATCAGATTGTCAATCCAGTGTATATCAAACATAGGATATGATATGAGCTTATCGTGGCCATACCATATCTTATCCTATCAGTCCTTATTATATCCTATCCACCAAATGAGCCATTAATTTATTGTATAAATCCATAATAAGAGATTAAACCCGAATGGATGGCATCTGACATCTCTGTATTCAATGAATGGCAATATTCCCGCATATATAATATACTAAATATGATGGTAACAGGTTTCCAGAAATGTTTGCGATCGAGTAAATAGTTCTACAAACGAATGGATTAGATCGAATTGGAAAATGGAAAGATTTTTACAAGTTATACCCATCGAAGAACCTTACCAGGGCTTGACATGCCGCAAATCCTCTTGAAAGAGAAGGGTGCCTTTGGGAACGCGGACACAGGTGGTGCATGGCTTTCGTCAGCTCATGCAGTAAGGTGTTGGGTTAAGTCCCGCAATGAGCGCAACCCTCGTTTTTAGTTGCCAACGTTGAGTTTAGAACTCTTAGCAGACTGCTGGTGATAAGCTGGAGGAAGGTGAGGATGATGTCAAGCCATCATGCCCCTTATGCCCTGGGCGACACATGTGCTACAATGGCCGGGACAAAGGATCGCGCTCCCGCGAGGGAGGCTAACTCCAAAATCCCGTCCTCAATTCGGATTGTAGGCTGCAACTCGCCTGCATGAAGTCAGAACTCTTATCTTACTAACTGGAATCAAAGAATTAGTAGATCTGTTTCGCCCACGTCCAAAATGGGAATGGGCTAGAGTTATGAACTTAGAATCTAGAATCTGATGATCGAGTCGATTCCATGATTATAAGTTCATTCCATACCGGACCAGACCAGAATGAGGTTATATATATATATTCTTATTAAGAGAAGGGGTCATTCAAGCGTATCTAAATAGATACTTCACGTTTTTTTTTTTCTTATCAAGGAATAAATCGCTTGACTTGTATGACTTAGAACGTCTTGATTTGAACCCATAAGCGGGACCACCACCCCATGGCATGTTGTCGCTAGAAGCAGAATTCTGTATTTTTTTCTAGAGAATCTCCTAATTGTTCCAGAGCAACTAGAAAAAGATTCCTTAACCAGAAAGAATTCAGTTCAGATGTAAGATACTTATTCAGAAGTTTTCGCAACTCAATCATGTATGATGGAATCATCAAAGATTTGACCTTTTCGAACATGCATATTTTTAAATTAATTATATGATAATATGACTAGTAAATTTTTTCTAACAATAAGGTACTTATAAACAGCATACGTGGTTACTTAGTTTGCACACGTCATCACCTGTTGTCAGTATATATCTCACCAAAATGTAATAGGTGATAATCATAATTAATAAATGACAATTGAGAAGAAGTATAATGACAATAATAACACTAATGTTTTGTATAGTAATTTTATTTCACTAAAGTACATAAATTAACTGATATAAAATTATTCAAATTTAATCAATGATCTCGAGTTTAAATTTTCGTACCCAATTGTATCCGTTGTCCTTAGGGACTATGAATTGAGTTGAAAATTCTAAGATCCTTACATCGATGAAGAATAAACCTAGTGTTATTCATTTATAAAATTCCATAACCCCGAGAGCAGAGAAGGCACAACAAACAACTTGGAAATTAGAAAATCCAGAGCTTTTGCATAAATTCTCAAATTCTTTCTCGGTTTTTTCGCTCCCACCATCCAAAAACATGAGGTTGTCTACACCAGTAACAATCTTATCTGCTTCTGTAGACTGAATTGTTTCAGGCATTATGAAGTCCACAACGATCACCTTCCCATTTTGTGGCAAAGCTTCATAGCAATTGCTTAGAACTTTTAAACAATTTTCATCAGACCAATTGTGCAATACTGCCTACAATTTTGAATAACCAACCACATGGAAATTTCAATTGTAACCCAACTTTATATGATTAGAGAAACATAACTAATCACTATTAGACATGAAGTCTCAGCTAAGTGGGTTATGTGGTAGTGTCTAGACTAACCTTCAATATTATGGCATCACCTTTTGGAACACTTTCAAACATGTCTCCTCCAACTTGCTCTATCCCTGCACACAATATGAAAATTCACTCATTGGCAATAAATAAATAAATAATGTGTATGACATCAAGGTAACTTAAGCTTTGGCACAGATATACCTGGATAAGTTGGAGCATTTTCTATCACTTGGGGCTGATCAAAATTAATACCCTTTATGGAAGGATACTTGGAAATTATCATATTCAAATTTTTGCCAATGCCACCACCCACATCAACTAGCAATGATATTCCGTCAAATCCACTATATATTTCAAGAATATTCTTCATCTGGATTGTGCAAAAGTTGGACATTGCTTTGTTAAAAACATAATCCAATGCAGGATCTGACTGTATGCCTTGATATATAGGCATCCCATGAATTTTCTTGAATAAGCTACTATCACAGTCAAGAAGTACCTCCTTGAAATTGATGCTAGCAAAAGACACAACAACATGATCAAATTTAACCCTTATTTCCCAAATCACGAAAACTATGTACTTGTTTGAATTATAATTTCAAAATGGTTTTTTAATTTTCAGATTAAAATATTAAAAAAATATGTTTGATAATGTCTGTTTTTGTAAATATAATTCTAAAAATTATATCTGTTTTTAAATTTTTAGAAATCAAATGTATAGAACCTATATATTTCATTTGTTTCTGTTTTTTGTTTTAACTTTTAATTTAAAAAAAAAACACAAAAAACACCAATTTCATTAATTACTTTATAAAATAGAATCCAACAGAATAGAATCAAATAAACCCTATATTTTTTCTTAGCGTCAACTTATATTAGGATAAAAATAATAAGTTATATACTAAATTTTAGTCACTAGTTCGACTTACACATCTAACGACTCTCGTGAGTAATAAATTAGAGTTGGTAAAGGCAAGTGAAATCAACGACTAATAATAAGTGTAAGGCTACAGGTACGTAGTAAAATTACTTACAAAGCATCCACAATTAATCGGTGACTCAGAAAAATTGGGAATAAAGCTACAGTGCCCTTATTCTCATCATTGACAAAGTATTTACCAGCAAGTGATAGCTGGTAAATTCTTTCTGTTGCACCGTTGTCATTTGTGCGAGTGGAACAAGTAAGAAGAGAGTGACTTGCTAGAAGACACAGCATGCGGTCAAGCCTACGAGGCAATTCAGGGTGCTGTATTGGAAGTTGAGAAGCAATGTCAGATGCGGATACACCAAGTGGGGTTGCCTTAGCTATTATCTCAAACAAGTTGAGTTCAAGGGCAGCATTCAATACTGCACAATACATCATTGGACTACAACTGAGTTGCATAGCATAGACGCATGCATTATAGTCATCTGCATCTGCAATATGAGGTGAACTTTTTGGAAGCTGATTCTGTTCCCAATTGGAATCCATATTGTTTCTTGTTTTAGTTTTTTTTTGCTTTGTATGTTACCATGTTGCTCTTGCTTCTGTCTTATGTAGGCGAAATTCCACAGCACAAGCATGGCTGGTAGTCTCTATGAAACTTCCGCCCACATAAATTGACTAAGAAATTTAGCATGCTTCTAGTATATGTTATTAAATTTGGACCGTTGTGTGATCAACTGGATCAATACATTGAGTTGATGGGTAGGTTAAATCAATTGAACTAAATTTATATATTAGTAAATAATAAATATATGTACTAAAATAATAATAATAATAATAATAATAATAATAATAGTAGGTGTATACCAAGAAAATTACTTTGGTGTAGTGATTGATTACATATATCCATTCAATGGTGCAAGGTTAGATTTTCCTTATTTATTTGATATATTTTATACTAAAAGTCAAAAATCCTATTCACCAATTACCTACCAGTTGAATTAAATATAAACTCTATCCAATGAACGAATTGGTCAGGTTTCTTGGGTATGACTCATAGAAATCTTGATTTACTAAATATGATGGTAACAGCTGAAGACCTATTTTTAAAATTAATTATATGATGCATGGGTATAAAATACGACTAATAAATTTTTTTCTGACAATAAGGTAGTGTTTTAAAATTAGGTCCGGTCATCGACTTGATCAAGGTATTGGGTCATTAGGTCATTGGTTCAATCGGTGGTCATTGGTTCAGCTGATTTAATTAAATTTATGTTAAATTATATAATAAATATATTATAAGGTGCATTTTGATCAATAGTGATAAATTGTAGGGTTTAGAAAGAAGAATTAGAGGGAATAGTTGAGAGACAGAAATTGTAGAGAGATAGAATTTTCCAGCAATTTTATGATTTGCTCCTTTTTTTAATTTTTGTTATATATTCAAAATGTAACAAAACGATGCAAAGTGTAAACTGTTTACAATATAATAAAAGTGAAAGTAAAAGTTAGCCCATTATGAAATCTTCAAAACATTTGGGCTTGGAAGTGTTCCTTTGGGTCCAGTGTTAGAGATTACTTGGACTCGTGGAAGTGGGCCACCTAAGTCCACTACGTGTTTTCCTCCTTGAGAACCAACATCGTCTGCGATGACTGATTGGGGCAACCGATCAAACGGGCCAATCACAAAACGGTTTGAAGTGTAACACAGATTGTCACATGAACTGTTGGATGAGTGTAAATCGACTGTGGATGTAGAATTAGTAGGTATGATAGAGTGCTTAACAGTTGGAACACACTCTAATGTGGGAACTGAAAAAGCTGTCCACATGTGGACCAACAATTGGTCCGCTTATGTCTTATGTCTTTAATGGATGTGTACCTTGTTTGTCACCAGCAGTTTTGTGTGTAATAACCAGCAGCAGAGGGGTCTATTGGCCTGGGTAACCCACCTTTGTTGAGTCTGTAAGGGTGACTAGGTCGTTCTCCTTGTTGGGCGATGTAGCCCTTATAACGTCGGTCGTCTTTGTTTCAGGTGGTTCTGTTGTCAAAGTCGTACCATTCTCTTGCAAAAGTGCACTTGGTGATAGGGATCCAGGTGAAAGACCCAAACTTTGTGGAGTCTTGCCCCCATGCGTGGTATTCCAATGACCAGAATCTGAGTCGTTAAATGTAAACCCATCCTCCCATGTATAGTCGTCAAGAGGTAACCCTTCCCACTGAACTAAGATCTGGGGAACTTCCTGTCTTTGGCGCCAAATAGTGCGGTGAGCTATAACCGCAGTAGGATGATGAATAAGAGGTCCTTCCTCGGATGATTCTGGCAGCGGTTGGTGGGGTGGATCTCGTTTATTATAAAAATGACATAAGGAGCTGAAAACGGTATGATACTTGGCCAACTCGCTCAATGATATGAAATGAACCATAAAACTTTTGTGCAAGTTTCTAAGAAGAACGACGAGCAAGTGACAACTGACGGTGAGGCTATAACCGAAGCAAGACCCAGTCTCCCACAGTAAAAATCTTCTCTTTTCACTTTTTATCTGCATATACCTTCATTGCATTTTGGGATCTAAACAAGTTGTCTTTTAATGTCACTGTTCCTGGTTCCTAAATCAGACTCTATGGCTACTAATAAGGATGATTCCAAAGTGGAAGCTAGCAAATTTGGGGGCTTGCAGGCGAAGGTGATCTCAAAAAGAGTCAAACCAGCTGATCTATTGAAGGACGTATTAAAATAGTATTCTGCAAAACTCTGGTAACGGGACCATAACTTTGGGTGTGTATGTGTAAAGGCTCTGAGATATTGTTGGAGACATCTATTAACTCTTTCGGTTTGCCCATCTGATTGTGGGTGATATGCGGTGCTGTATTGTAGAGCTATGCCTTGAAGCTGGAATAAGGTCCGCCAGAATGCACTCACGAAGATGGGGTCACGGTCTGAAATTATTATACGGGGAAACCCGTGAAATTTGCCCATAGAGTCCCAATTGTTTTTGCTACCTGTGAAGCTGTATAACTGGTAGGTAATAACTGGTAGGTAACTGATAACTCTATTATAGGATTTTGAGGGTTAGAGCTCACAATAGGAATATTGGGGTTTTAATCTAGACAAGTGTAGAATAACAATCTATTTTAATCTAGACATAGGCTTACATAGATTGCGGACTTTTAGATTCATTTGCTTAATGGTTAATTCAAGAGGAATTACTAGGACACTAGGATTTGAATTGGGTTAAAGGGTTGAAAACACCAAGACATTAGGGTTCAACCATTTAATATGAAAATAATGAATTGTCTGAGCTAATAAATTAGTTAGTTATAAAATCCAATTTAGGAATATAAAGGAGGATCAGAGGTGAAGTGCATCCTGCCTACAGTTCTTTTACAAATTCAATTATTCACATTTTCTTTGACGTTCTTGATATTTCTTGCATGCGTTTGATTCTTATTGTCTTTAAATTTCTGTTAACAAATATTTTCACTATCAAACCGAGTTTTTCCAAATCAAGGGAAATAGTTAAATTAGTAGTTGGTGCATTAATCTTCGTGGGAACGATATTTTCTTATCACTTTATTACTTGGAACGATCGGTATACTTGCCGATTTCGCAACAAGGCTTTGGCGTCGTTGTCGGGGATTAATTACACCAATATTTATTCTAACTTTCGATCTTTGAGATTGGAATTTTTATTTTTGTTTTGTTACTAATTGATTTCTCTCTTTTATCCGAGGTAAAGTTAACAGCGAACCTTTACAGTTTGATCCAGAAATCGAGAAGACTGCAAAGAAGAACAGAAAACTAACCAAGCTAAGGAAGCAAGAGGAATCCTCGAGTTCAAGGCTAAAAACAGAACCCGAGGTGGCAGCTCCTAATCCACCACCGGAGGATGAATTGATGGATCAATCCTTGCTCCTCTTTTCACAAGGCCAAATTCTAGCATTGTTAGACCACGAATCGATGCTAACAATTATGATATTCATCCGTCACTAATATCATTGGTGGAGAAAATTCCATTTGGCGGGGAAGATTACGAAGACCCCCATGATTTCATAGACAGATTTCTAAGAATTTGTGATACTATTAAGCATCACGGGGTGTCAGATGATGCAATTAGATTCCGGTTATTCCTTTTTGCTGTATCAGGGAAAACTCTCAGATGGTTGGATAGACAAGCCTCCAACAGTATCAGAAAATGGGATGATTTGACAGCCAAGTTCTTTGCTGAGCACTTTTCCATGGAGAAATATAACAAGTTGGTTAATGAAATTACCAACTTCACTCAACATCCAGGAGAGACTCTGTGTGCAGCTTGGACCGGATTCCAAGAACTAATCAGAAAGTGCCCCCAGTATGATTTTCCAGATGGAAAGAAAGTCAGGGTCTTTCTACAGCTCAAGTTAATCCAGGTAACTGTGAGTATTGCAAAGGAGAGCATGAGACCAACGAGTGCCCAACACTTGTAGGATCTGAGCCGTTCCAAGTTAATGGAGTCTGGTATGATCCAAGACCACCGTAGAACTTCGAGAGGAACCAGAACAATGCTCCAGGGAGAAATTTCCAAAGGAGAGTTCAAGGGGGAGATTTGGATTACAAATCCAATAATTACTTACAACCTCCTCCTATTCCACATAAGGAGCCGTCTGAACTGGAGAAAGCGATGTTGCAGCTTTCTAAAACCATCAATGACTATATCCAGACCACTGATGCTTTCATAAATGAGACGAGAGCCTATCATAAGAATCAAGATGCTTCCATCCGAAACTTGGAGAATCAGATAGGCCAATTGTCTAGGCAGCTTGCTAAGAGAAATCAAGGCCAATTCCCCAGTGACACCATAATCAACCCGAGGGAACACTGCAATGCCATCACTACTAAGAGCGAGGATCTAGAAAAAAGGAAGTTGAAGCTCTACAGGCAAGAATGAGCACACTCAAGAGCATAAAGAAGAAGTAAATGAGCAACCTCCTACAGTTCAAAAGAAGCAATTGTCTAAATTTTTAGATATTTTAAGAAATTGCAAATTAACATTCATTTTGCAGAAGCTTTGGAGCAAATGACTTCGTATGCCAAGTTCCTGAAGGAGAGATTATCTAAGAAGCAAAAGCTCACAGAGGATGAACAGGTACACTAACAGAAGAGTGCAGTGCAATCATACAGAAAAACTTGCCTCCAAAGTTAAAGGATCTAGGGAGCTTCGGTATTCCATGCACCATTGGCAAGATAACTACAGAGAAAGTCTCATGCGATCTTGGTGCCAGCATAAATGTGATGCCGCTCAACCTGATGAAGAAGCTGGGAATGGATGAAGTAAAGCCAACGAGGATGAATGTTCAACTGGCCGACCGCTCAATAAAGAAGCACATGGTATTGTGGAAGATGTGCTCGTCAAGGTAAACAAATTTTTAATTCCTGTTGATTTTGTTATTCTTGACATTGATGATGATGCCAGTATGCCAATGATCTTTGGGAGGCCATTCTTAGCAACTTCAGGAGCGCTAATCGATGTACCTAAGGGTGAATTGATAATGCGCGTGGATGG